CGCGTTTATATAGTCAGAGGCGACCTGCGGGCAGCGGAGCCCCTCCTCTTGCTGCGAAGCGGCGGAGAGCGAGGTCGGAGAGCGCCCTGTCGGAGAGGGTGCCGCCGCCGAGGTCGAGCGTGGTGAGGACAGAGTTTGAGCGGAGAGCGCCGACGAGCACCTCGGCGGCGGCGGTTGAGAGGCTGCCAAGAGAGAGCACCTCGAGCGCCTCGTTGGCGGCGAGGCAGCGGCCAAACGCCTCGGCGACGCGCAGCGAGGAGGCGGAGGAGGCGGCGGCGGAGGAGGCGGAGGCGGCAGAAGAGGAGGCGGAGGAGGAGGCGGAGGCGGATTCGAGGCCGGTGCGGCGCAGGGAGAGGACGCGCAGGGCGCGGTTGTACGCGAGCGCCTCGGCCAGGTAGACGGCGCCGTCCGCCCCGATCGGGTTGCCGTCGAGGTCGAGCGCGTGCAGCGTCTCGGACCACCTCGCGGCGTCGGCGAGGCGGTAGGCGCCGGCGTCGGTGACGGAGTTGTCGACGAGCGAGAGGCGGGAGAGGCGGCTGCGCTCGACGAGCCCGGCGAGCGAGGCGGCGCCGCGGTCTCCGACGGTGTTGCCATCCAGGAAGAGCTCCCCGATGGTCGACTCCTCGAGTGAGCTGACCAGTGCGTCGGCCGCGTCGTCGCCGAGGAGCTTGCTGCTCGCGTCGGCGGGAGCGAGGGAGAGGCTGGCGCACGTGCCCAGCGCGACTTGGGAGACGGACTCGAGGCCGACGCAGGAGGGCGGCGGCGACGGCGGGCTCGGCGGCGGGCTCGGAGGGCTCGGAGGCGGCGGCGGAGGCGGCGATGGCGGCGGGCTGGGCGGGTTTGGAGGCGGGCCAGGCGGCGACGGGACGATCCGCGTGATGAAGGAGGACATGCCGTGGAGGATCGCGCCGGAGAGCGCATCGGCCTTGTCTCCGGACACGCCCGGCTCCAGCGCCTCGCCGAGCTGATCGGCCAATGCCACCGTGAAGCCCCACCCTGCCTGCTTCGCGCCCGCCGACGTCGGCGTGGCCAGCGTCGGAAGAGCGGTCGTCGGCGTGGCCGCGGTGGTCGGCGTGGCCGCGGAGGTCGCCGCAGAGAACAGACTGCCCACAAGGATCATTGGGCGGAGGCTGGGTTCCGGCTCCTAGCAGATAGGGGGTTGTAACGACACCCTCTGCAATAGGTAGGTAGGTAGGGCGTTTTGGCGCGAGTCATGGTCAACAGACCCCCTATCTGGCTAGGAGCCGAAACCCTCCCAAAAGTGCCCTGCAATAGTGAGCGGCAAGGTACTTTTCAGAAGGTGACTGATAAACCGTCGCAGGATCTGGCTGGCTACGCACATGAGCGCTTGGGTTGTCTGTTTTCTTTCTTTCTTTCTCCACATGAGCGGCTTGCATGCACATGAGCGAGCGGCGTCCACACAGCACGCAGCGCAAGAAGAAAGAAGAAGGCGCTCGAGCGGGCGGCGACAGGACTACCGCCGCAGAACCGCCGCCCACACCACCGCCGTCCGCGGTGGCGGTCCACCAGGGCAAAATGGGATCTTTCAAAATGGGTGTTCCTTATTAGAAAAATGTGCATGGTCCGGGAATGTACGTAAGTAAGAGCGGACATACACTGAGAGAGGGACGCGCGTAGGGCCCTTAGGGGCCTAGAGAACACAACCCCCTCGCTCTCCCTTTTCTCCCAGTAAGCTAAAAGGATACACTGAAAATCTTTCTGTGCCTCTGCGCACGTCCGGATCGTTACATTTGACTGTCCGCACGCTCTCGTAGGGCCACGCCCGCCCGATATGGCCACCGCGGCGGAGACCCCCCGCACGGCGACGGTCGCTCGCATGCGGGTTCGAGCCCTCGAGAAGAGGTACGAGCTGAGGAAGAGCTTGCTCGCTCGCTTCGCCTATCGGTTCGGTTCCGACACCAAACGGGTCGCCCTCATTGAGGCAGAGCTTAGCAAGTGGCCGCAGCTGGAGCAAGGGCAGCCCCTCAGCAGGGCTGACCTCGCGGCGCTCGAGCAAGCAGTGCAGGCGGCCGTAGCCAGGGCGGTCCACGCGAAATCGATCCCGCCCATCGAGAGCTACTCGGAGGACCTCGGGGCCGTGGCCAACTGGAACTGCCTCGCGGAGCACCAGGCACAGCACGCGCGCCCTCCACGCATCAGCCGGGATGTGCAACCGGCCTGTCGCGGGCAACTCGTGAACCTTCCCTCCAGGCGCGCTCTGTTGGCGAGGAGAAGCTCAAAGAGCAGGCCGGCGAGGCGAGGCGGAAGGAGGCGCTGGCCTCAATCGCAAGGTCCGCCTCTGCTTGGCCCAGCACGACACTAGCATAGCGCCCACTCGCCCCTGCGCCGTCCCAGGCACGAGCGGTTTGAGCTGGAGCAGCGACGGCGGGCGGCCAAGGAAGCCAAGACGCAGGAGCTGTCCCTGATGCGCGAGCTGCAGGCGCGCTACAAGCACGAGCAGGAAGCCGCCGAGGAGGAGCGCAAGGCCAAGATGGAGCGGGTGCTCCAGGACCAGCGCGCACAGGTGGAGGAGCGAAAAGCGCGCCGCGCGGTGGAGTCGCGGCTGCGGAGTCTCGAGGACGACGAGTTTCGCCGCCAGCTAAAGGACGAGGCGGAGCAGGCCGCGAGGGCAAAGGCGCGAAAGGCGGTCGAGGATCGGCTCGCCAATCAGGCGGCGGTGGCGGCGGGCCAGGCGGGTATAGAGCGGCGGCGCGTGCAGAAGCGCGAGGAGGACGCGCTGACGCAGGCCAAGAATGCGGAGTGGAAGGCGAGCGGCACGCACTGATGCAGACCTGCGGGCGCTCGAGGCACTGACACAGTCGTTTCTTGCTGCCGCGATCAGGCGCTTCTCGACAAGCAGGAGGCGGACCGGGCTGAGGCGTACCGGCAGCGCAAGATGCGGATCGACGCGATGCAGCGAGGCTACGAGAGCAGCGCGGGGGCGGCGATGCGGGCCCGCGAGGAGGCCGAGGCGCAGTCGCGCCCCTGGCCCAGACGTCTCTCCGCCATATCCTCCATGATTCGCCCCCGGCCACCTAGGCGGCGCGCCGGCAGCGAGACCTCGAGCAAGCAGAGGCGGAGGCGGCGGCCGAGGAGGCGCGGCGCAAGGCCAAGCTGAAGGACGACACGGCCAGCATGCTCAAGGCGCTCGACGGCCAGATGGAGGCGCGCGAGAGGAGGAAGCGGGAGGAGCGGGTGGAGGATGAGCGGCGGGCGCGAAAGCAGAGGGAGGAAACCGCGGCGTTCAAACAGGAGGAGGAGCGGCAGCGGCAAGAGGCCCGGGCGCGTGCCATGCGGCAGCAGCAGCTGCTCGCTGAGCAGGTGGAGGAGAGGCGGCTGGCGAGGATGCGCGAGCAGGACATGACGCCGCTCGAGCAGTCGCTGAACCGGGGCCTGCTGCTGAGCGTCCTCGAGGAGAAGAAGCGCGGGAGGTAGGGAGTCGTTCGTGCGATGCACAGGGGCAGAAAATGACGGGCGGCCTCTCCCTCCTCTCTCGGCCAACCGCAGTGCGCCCCAACATGCGCCGTCCCGAGACCGTCACCCCGTGTGGCTGCCGCCAGAGAAAGAAGCAGGCAGGACACAACCAGAGGAACACTCTTGAGATTCGATCTTGAGATCTGTTTTGTCTGAGCGATGAGCGCGTGGGGGGCGGTGACGACGGGCGAGGGGGGAAGAAAGGCGAACGCGGCTAACTCGGCAGATAGTTCGAGCTTAGAGCAGCAAGGATTTTTTTGAAGAAAATCCATCCAAAAAAAAAATGTCCTCCTCCGGGAATATGTACCTAAGAGCTACATAGAACATACATACACCCGTTCGTTTTCTTTGCAGCGTGTCTTGGAGATTCGCCGCGAGATTATACCTTCTCGCAGCTGCGAGACGAGCTTTCTCGGAGCGACAGCCTCAAAGAATTCTTAGCAAGCGAGCGCTAGTGAACGCCCAGGGAACCGATATGCCTTACAGTATTCTTATACAATACTCAGGTCCCGCTAGCAAGCAAGAGCATCGGCGTCGGAGTCTGGGGGGGTGGGAGGGTCGGGGCGCACCCGCTCGCGGTCCTTGGCCGCCTTGCCGCCCGCTCCGCCGCCGTCGCCGCCGCCGCCGCCGCCGCCCGGTGGGGGGTCTCCCCCGTCGGGCTGTGCGACGGGCCGGGCGGCTTGGGCCTCGAGCTGCTCGAGCCGCTTGCGAAGCACTCGCAGCTCCTCGGCCGAGTCCACGGGAGCGGGAGGCGCGGCTGGGGCCCCGTCGGTGCCCCCGCCAGCCCCCGAGGGGGGGGGCTCCTGCCCAGAGCCAGCTTTGGCCTCTGCGGGCCGTTCGTCTTGGAAGCGCGCTTCGGCGCGGATTTGCCCATATCGTTGGGCGCACGGAGGGAAGGAGAGGTGGGCTCCTGCCCGAGAAGGTCGCGGGACCTGCGCAGAGCTCGCTCTGCGTGATGCCGCTCGAGCTTGGGCGTGCACGCAAGGGCCACGCGCAAGCAAGAGCAAACAACTGGGAAGTTCACAGCTGAGCTTACCCAGAGAACGCCGTTCTCACCCAGATACAAGCCTCAAAGAAAAAAGGGTGGATTGGTGGGGGGACGATCGCTGGTGCGCGCCAGCGCGCCCCAAGAACGGTGGGGTGCCCTCGACCGCGCGTCCAAGTCACTTGGGCGGACGAGCGAGCGGCACATGGCCTGACGAAGAGAGCTCTCTCTCTCTCTCTCTCTCCTGACGAAGAGAAATCGGAGTGCGGCGACGAATCGAAATCTGACCCCCGGGGAACGTGGGAGACCGAGCAGAAGCAATCTCCTCGAATCGCCGGCGGCCTTGGCACACAAAGAACGACCCGACCTACCTCACGAGGTAATGCCTGCTGCCAGCCTCCTCATAATCATGTCTTCGCTTGCCGCGCCAACCGTCGAGCGTGAGAGTGTGCGCCCAACTCACGCCCAACTCGCGCCCACTAATGCCGACTACTCCTCGACTGACGCTGGCACGCTCCGCGAGGACGTGCGGCCAGTCACCTGCTCGACCAAATGCAACACACTATTCATGAAGAAGGAAGGCGCGTGCTCATGCACGCACAGCGTGTGGAAGATCACATTGTGGGCGTTCGGTGCTATCTCTGGCGTCATAGCCCTCAGCGCCCTCCTCAGCGCTGCGAACAGGCTGATGGAAAAAGGAATGTCGGCGTCGACCGAGCTTCAGCCCGCGACGGAGTCGAAGCAGCCCGACGGCACCACCCTCCGCCGTCGCGCCTCCTAGAACCCACGCGTACTGTGTCGTGTCGTCGCGTGCGGTCTTGTACACCAAGTACACAGCCTTTCGTAATGTTCTTGCTTCTTGTGTCCTCGTGCCCCGTGCCAGGCTGCCCCCTGCCGCATCGTGTCATGCCCAACCGTTGTACGTTTCTTACTGTGCCGACAATACCCCAATACTTCCTCCCCGCGGCACCCCGGGCCGAGAGGTGCTGCACACGTACAGAGATTGACGTAGGGGGGGATATGGTGATTTTTGAATGAACGCCTCGCGCAAAACCACCGCTACCATGCCACAGAAGACCCTTGTGGGCTATCCAGAACACCTAAGATCATGCCCTAGCTCTAAAGTGGGCCCGAGATACGCCAGCTAAACCCCGGATTTTTTCCGGCAGCGGGCCACACATGGCGGCTACCCAAGCGGGTCGCACGGAGACACGGGAAGGCTGCCGCAAGCCGCCTCCGGGTGCAGGGGCCCGGCGCGGTGGGCGGGGGCAACGGCCCGGTAGCTGGCCGCGCCTCTCCCCCCCGCCCGTCGCCGCTGCACCCCTTGCCGCGGCCCTCGTCGCTGCTGTAGCGACGACAGCCGCGGCTAGGTCAGAACGCCGCCTCGGAGAGCTCGAGCGAAGGCGCCGACGGTGGCAGCCGTGGTAATTATTGATGGTAGAAGGCTCCTGAGCCGTCGGGCACCACGCTCGACGTCGCCGAGCAGCCGCACCTGTCGCGAGCGCCTGCGTGTCGGGCGCTGCCGGCTCGACCTCCATTTCCGGCGAGGTGTCGGGCGCGGAGGGCGGCTCCGGCGCCTCGGTGGCGTTCGTGGGCTCGACGGAGGCAGCGGCCGCCTTGGCGGCCTTGCGCCGCTTGCGCCTCTCCGCTTTCGCGGTCAGCTTCGCACTCAGCGGCATCGTGCAGCGGTCGTGCCCCTTTCCTGAGGGCGGAGGTGGCGGCAGCCATCAGGACTGCGCCGAGGCACCCTCGGCACCATCGGAGGAGGGTGCATCGCGTGCCAGCGGAGGCGGGAGGGTGATGGCTGTGAGCTGAGAGGGACACAAAGAGGCCAAAACCGAACAGAATGGCGGCCACCTGCCCGACTCAGCCGCAGCCCGAGAAAATTTATTTGACACTGAGCCATATCCCCCCCTAATTGACGCTCTCTACCGTTATCACAGCCCCATCGCCGTCATCGCAAGCACGACACGCCGGCATTATGGTCGAACACGCGGCTGATCAACCCCACCCGTCGGCTGCGGCGGTCGGCGACCACAAACGCGCACAGCGGCGACGCTCTTCTGAGCCGCGACGCGTTATAGGCGGCTCCGAGGGAGCTGCGCGGAGCCTCAAACAGGAGCTGCGAGGCGTGGCGCGACCCGTGTGAGACGCGCCCGCCCGCCTCCGCTTCCGCCAGCGCCGACCCGCCCGCCCACTCGAGGAAGGCGTCCCGCAGCAGCACTGTGCCCACGTTGGGCCGCGTGTTCCCTCTCGTCACGCGCCGGATCTCCGCCGCGTCCCGCCTCGCCTTGGCGTCGTACCAGCGCAAGTGGCGCCGCAGCGCCACGTCCAGGACCGGATGTCCCGGCGCCGCACCGAGGAATGCCTAATCACACAACCAGACGAGGTTATGGGCTCCGCGACCTCTCGAGGGGCCCACAGAGACTAACGCGGCAAAAGCCAACGCCTGGAAGAACCCGCGAGGATTTTGTGGGAAGGCGGTGGTGGTGAGGGCGGTTACGAAGGTGGTGTCGGCATCGATGATGCGGCGGAGGTCAAAGAGCGGAGCGATGTCGTTGTCGAAGTAGTAGCCGCCGTGACGATAGAGCTGTGCGAGACGGCACATATCGCTCCGCAGCCTGCCGTCGGCCTCGTTGCGGAACGCCTGCGCGAGCGCTGCGCCAATCTCACGATGACTCAACAACGTGTCCGCGCAGCCTTTGTCGTCCAAGAAGAGTGTCGTCGTGCCCGGGTGAATCGAGACTGTCCGCCGCACGTTGGCAGCATAACGGCCGAGGCCTCGAGGCGCAAAGCTGCCACTGAGCAGATTCTGGCGGCCGTTGAAGACGAGGACCTCCGGGATGAGCCGCGTGGCGTTGTTGCGCCGCCTATGCCGCACTGTGGTGACAGCACTACCGAAAGCACGTGCCTGTGGGAAGTTTCCAAGAAGGTTCGGGGAAGGCGTGCGGGCAGGCCGTGTCGGCGAGCCGTAGCTGCGGAGCATAATGTGCCGCTGTCAAAAAGAATTTTGCAACCGCCGTGCACAACACTGGGCACGGGACTGGCGCGCACTGGCACTAACACAGGTACAAAAGAATGTAAAAAGAATTTTACTCTCTCTTTTTCTTGTTGGTTTTCAAAATCTCTCTCTATAAATAAATAAATAAAACGGACACACCAAACAAGGGGTGGGAGAAGGACAGGGTCCCCACCTGCACGAGCAGGATCTTGTAAGGACGATCAGGGACACAGGGGAACGGGAGCGGGGAGCGCATCGCGACACGGGGGGGGGGCTGGGCAGGGTTCACCCACACGACAGGGTCCCAGGGATTCCCCTCTCGTATAGGACAAAGTTGCACCCGGCGGCACGGGGGCAGGCGCGGGCCTCCTACTGGTTGCGCTCTCCTAGTTCTCCTGCTACTGACAAAAGGGACAGCGAGCGACAGGTTCGCAGCACGGTGGACTCCCTATTCCACTGGCGATCTCTCTCGACTAGCGACCTTCCTCCGGCTTCTCACTGGCAGTCTCTCACTATCACGGGCACACTGACAGAGGCGGCCAAGGCTCACGCTAAAATCTCTCTCTCTCTCTTAGAACGCGGGCCAGCAACTTCTTTTCCCGCCTCTTTTCATTGCAAGTGCCCGCCGGAATCGAAACACGAGTACCCACAAAGCGCGCTCCTGCCCAGGCGCGTCACGCAGCAGCTGTCTCGGTCACGACGCTTGTGGCTGCGCGCAGCCTGAGGCGCACTGGCTATCTACTTTCTCCGGCGTGCCGATGCTGCCGCTGGTGTCGGTCGACTTCTTTGCTCGAGCCGCCCTGCCCGATAAAAATTATTCATACGGCTCGTACTACGACACTGGACCGGGGGACGGAGATCGGAGTGTGCGGCAGATACTCCGACGCCCTCGAGGTGAGTGGCCCCAACGGCCCCGTACAGTTCTGTGGCCCCGACGGCCCCGACGGGGCGATTGCGAGTGGAGACATTGTTTGGACATCTCTGAACCACGCCGACTGGATAACTCCCAAACACTGGATCGGCTGGAAGGCGCGCACACACTCTCCCCCTCCCAGCTCCGTCCCTTGCCCGCAGCCTCCCCCTTCACCCCCTCCTCCACGCCCCCTCTCACCACGCGCGGATCGGCTTGCCACGTGTCAAACGCGCCACCCATTTCGCCGCCGCCGCCCACGCCGCCGTCGCTGCCGTCGCCGCCGCCGTCCCCGTCTGTGTCAGCCTTCGACTGCACGAACCACCCGAACCCGATGCAAATCGTCAAGCAAGTCGGCGTCTATAAGCTCATTGAGCTGGACATCTCGACTGGTGTGTACTCGGATGTCCACACTGTCCAACTCGACACCGCCGTGGACGCGGGTCGTGCGAATCCAAGCCTCGCAAACGCCTTCGCCATCAACCCGACCAACGACATCGCGTACGGCAAGTTCACTGACAGTAATACTCAGGACTTCTTCTGCCGCTTCGCAGCCAACCAGACCGCCGAGCCTATGGAGTGCCTCTGCGCCCTGTCGGCCGCCTCCTCCTCCTCTTCCTCGTCCGACGTGTACTCCTCGTCATCGTCGTCAGAGCCGAAGCCAAACTCGTCGTCGTCGTCGTCGTCGAGCTCGCCGCGCGCTTGCATGACCTTGATCCCAGTGAGCAGCCCGGCGAAAAAGTGACGCCGCTGCAGCTTTGGCGGGCGGGAGAGCAGCGAGTCCGTGAGCGATCTCCGCGTCGCTCATGGCAGCGAATTTGTCGAAAATCCGGCGCTCGCCGCACTCTCGGCCACCACACTCCTTTGCGATCGGTTTGAGCAGTTTGAACGCATCGGCCTCTGCCGAGAGGTGCATCATTCCGAGGATGATCTTCGCAGGCGGAGGAAGCGGGAGCGCCTTCAGCATCCCGATTTTCTCTTTGTCGGGCTTGCCCTGAAGCAGAGAGATTTTGTGCATTTTTAGATTTTGTGTTTGTTGAGATTTTGTGTTTGAGAGAGATTTTTGTTTGTGAAGCAGTGCGCCGATCATCTCGAGCGGGGACTCCATTTGTCACTGCGAAATTTGCGACACACAGCTCCGAAGCAAACTTGGGCAGACGATTTCCCAGAGCCACCTGGTCCCGCGCATTCACAGTTTTCGCGGCCCCACGAGGCTGTGAATGGCGACTCTATGTGCTGCAAGACCGCACTTTTCAGCAGCACTAATGGCGGCGGCGAAGAAGCCGTTCATCTACATGCCACGCTCAACCAAGCTCACAGAGCCGCTTGGTTTAGCGAGCGGTGGCGCATGCGGCTCGGGCGGCGGCGGCGGCGAAGACGCGCAAAAGAGCTTCTGGCTCGTGCCAACCGAGCGCGTCCTCGCCTTTGCCTCGAAGCGGCTCACACTGGGTGACTCTCACCCGCTTCCGCCGCCGCTCGACACTCTGCCGCCGGGAACGGTCGAAGGCACGCACCATGGCCGGCTCGAGGAGCTGCTTGTGCGTCGGCTCGCGCTTCACCGATCCTGCACGAACCGCTCCGATCGTGCGGCGGTCTGCATCGTGTCAGCGCCTTCGTCGGGTCGCTGCTACGACTGGGAGTCGCTGTGCCAAGGCCGGCGGCTGGCAGTGATCGGCTTCTTCGACCCCGACCTCGTTTTCTACAAGGGCAACTTTCCCAACTTCTGTCGGACGCTCTGGGGCTGCGAGGCGACGCGGCCGGGCACCTGCGCGGACGCCGCATGCCCAGCAGCGCGCATTGTGCGCATCGCTGCGAACCAGCCGCTCCTCGTGCAGCGCTTTGCGTGCGGCTTCGCGCCCACAGGCACCATTTCGGTGCCGTATCTCGGCCACGCGCGCACTCCCGTTGCGCTGGCGGGCCGCGCGTCCGACGCACCTCCGCCCGCGACCTCGTCGCCGACGGCCCGGCCGGTCCACGTGGCCATGGCCATCGGGCGCTACTCGCACAAGTCGATGACCGCGCTCGGCTTCCGCCCGTGGCGGGACGCGCTCGTCGCCGAGTGCCGCGCGCGCGCGGCGCGCGACAACTCGACGTGCCACGACTTCTATCCACTACCCAACGGCGCGAACGCGCTGCACGCAGTGGCGTGGTACGCGCGCGCCACCTTCTGCCTGCAGCCCCCTGGCGACACCGTCGCGCGCGCCGCGATCGCCGACGCCGTCTCGGTGGGGTGCATCCCCGTACTGCTGCACCCGGCGCAGCTGCGGCTGTGGCCGTGGCACTGGGACGCATCATCAGCTTCGGTTTTCGAGAACTTCACTAACGTCGGCGCGCGCAACGCCTCGTGGGCCGACGCCGCGCGCGGCCTCTTCCACCGGCTGCTGCGCATGCCGCGTGCCAAGGTGCGCGCGCTGCAGAGGGCAGTGCGCGCCGCGGCGCCGCGCCTCGTCTACGGCGGCGAGGGCGCCGCGGGCGCAAGTGCGGGCGCCGACGACGCGGTCGAGGCGCTGGTGCAGGGGCTGCTCGGCGGCCGCGCGACGCCCGCCGACGCGCCGCCCGCCGAGTGGAGCACGACTCTATACGGAGACGCGGTTGAGAGCGACTCGCTGCAGCCCACGCGGCCCGCCAAGCCGCACGCCAAGCCTTCCGGACGGCCGCCCAACAAGGCCAAGCCGAGCGCGAAGGCAGCGGGCCGCGCGACGCGCCGGGGCCGCGGGAAGCGGGGATAAAGAACCCCGGCCACGTGCACTCTGTCAAAACACGTAAAAGGCCATGTGACACGTGAATAAAAACATTCATAGCAGATACACATGCACACACGCATATACGTATCTCTCCGTCACGCATTCCGCATCAGCGGGTCGTATATGCCCGCAAAGGCGTCCGTGCCTCCCGCGAGCACCCTCAGCACCTCCTCCTCGCTCGTGCAGTCGGGGACCGGCGCGTGCCCCACCAGCGCCACCTCCACCCTCTCTCGGCCCGGCCTCGCGTCGAGCACGACCGTCGTCTCCTGCCGGCCTCGGCCCGCGGGCGGGTGGGCGGTGAGGCCGTTTGCGGTGAGGTGCAGCCCCAGCTGGATCGCGCGGTGGCGGAGGAGCCGGTTGAGGGTCCGCGAGCCGGTCCAAGTCAGTCGCGCGTACGGCAGCTCGTCCGGGAACGCGACCACGACGATGTCTATCCGACGGTGTCGGCCAGCAGTATTGCGCCAGATGCCATACGCCTTGTCGTGCCAGTCCCCGTGTAGTATGTCCGAGCCACGGTCCCTCGCCGCCGCCGCCTTGCGCCGAGGCAGGTAGGCGCGCGCGCCGTCGGCGTCACGCCGCTGCTTCTCGGCGTGCGGCCGGCGGACGAGCTGCAGCCTCGCCTCCTCCTTGGGGAGCAGGCCGGGGCCGGTCGCGCCGCCAGCCGGCAGCAGCAGCTCGCGCAGCAGCGGGAGCAGCACGCACGCCTCCTCGCCCTCGCCCCAGCTGTTTGGCTCCGTCGCGTGCCAGAGCAGCAAGTCCACATCGTGGCCCGCGCGGCCGCGCGTGCGAGAGCCACCCATGAAGTCCGCGTGCCTAGTCTCGGGTCATCGCGGGTCATCACGGGTCGTCTCGCTCAAAATCGCCCGTCGGTCCGCGTGCCAGCAGCAGTGGCACGGGCCGCCGCCTGCCGGCGGCGGCGGGCAGTCTCGCCGCTCGCCCGCCCGCGCCGAATGGTGACTCCGCACTACCGACAGCACGTGCCTGTGGGAAGGTTCCAAGAAGGTTCGGGGTTGGCGTGCGGTGAAGCAGCGCCGCCACCAAACAGCTCACCTCCGCATCTCGAGCGCCTCCGCCTCGCTGACCGGCTCCTGCAGCTCGTCAAAGTGGCGCAGCGAGGCGAGCAGCGAGCCTAATATAATATTATTGAGCCTGGGCGTGTCAAAACGAGGGAGCGGCGGTGGAGCATCGCGTGAAGACAGGGGTACCTTAAACGGGTACGAGCGCAACGAGTGCGTGTCTTTGCGAGTGTGCGGACCTCAGTCTCCCGCATCTAGGGCCGCGAGCCCGCCCGCTTGTCGCCGCCAAGCTTCGCGAGGTGCTGTGGCGACTGCAGCAGGCTCGGCACGGAGCGGACGGGCGTGAGGCCGTCGAAGCGACCCTGAGAGGCGAGTGCGACGGGCGGCCGACCGTCGGGGCGGAGGCGTGGTACAACCGGCAGCCGGCCGGCAGCCGGGGCGCGTCGTGGGCTGTGTTGGTGACACCCAGGCGGAGCAGAGGAGGGCACCCAGCAGCGGTGAAGACACTCACCGCCGCCTCGACGAGGTCGATGGCGGTCTTCGCTCCGAGGCCGAACACCTTGCCGAGCTGCCGCTTCTCGGGCGCCGACCCCATCGAGCGACCAGCCTCGTTTTTGAGGCGCAGCGCGTTGTCCGAGCCGGTGGGCGGACTGTTCACAGCCAGAGCTGTGAAGAGGCGCTGCTCGCACTCGCGCCGCTGCGCGAGCCGGTGGGCGCGGCCACCGGCCGCTCTCGAACTTGGCCAGCGCCTCGCAGCTGCCCGAGGAGAGGATCTGGTACGCCTGCGGCAGAGCCCGAGGTGGACTCGGGATGGATCGAGATGGATAGCGCCGGAGAGAGCGGGTCTGTGCTGCAGCCGTGTGCCGATGGTAGAGAGGAGCAGGATCGGTGCTGCAGACGCGTGTGCCTGCAGCGCGCGAAACGGGCCGAAGAAGGGGAGCGAGGCGGCGGCCCGAGCGACAAATCCACTTTTGCCGAGGGGCATCCACTGCGAGAGCGGGAAGGGCACGCCAGCGGCCACCGCGGCGGCGCGCGAGTAGAGCAGCGCCTCCGAATTGAAGTGCCTCTCCTCACTCGCATCGTCATCGCACTGGACCGATACCTCAAACTTTTCGAGCGAGCGGAAGGCGGCGGCGATGGGAGCGTTTGCGACGCACGCGCAGCCCACGGGAAAGGAGTACGACGAGAGCACGAGCCAGACGGCGCCCTCCTCGCTCACTCCGGCTGGCGAGGGCGCAGCGCTGGAGGCCGCGAGCGCTGTACTCGAGCTTCCCGAGCTGCTGGCGCTGCCCGGCTCTGTCCGCTGCCGTTTCGCGACACGGCCGACGTTCCACCCGTCGTCCGAATCGTACTCGCCGGCGCGGACCAGGTTGCAATTCCGGACTGACACAGCGTCGCCGCCAGCCAGCTCGACGTGGCACCGGTCTCCGACCGTGAGGACCGTCGCCTCGCGACCGTTGAGCTCGCGGCCCTTATCCGAGGTGAGGCCGAAGATTCGGACGACTTCGCCGACGCCGAGCTGCATGCCAGGGAGCACGTTCGGTAGGCACGTTCGGTAGGCACGTTCGGTAGGCACGCTCGGTAGGCGCTGGGCTGGGTTCGGGTCTGAGCTAAGTAGGGTGCAAATACCGGCCTCTGCCGTGGGTGAAACCTATTATTATGGGGACTACCTGTACCTCGAGACGATGTTTTTGTTGTACCTGTGCCTGCGCCTTCAAGGTTTCTATCCTACTCCTTTCTGATTCTGTTTCTCCAGTCGCAGTGGAGGCTCCAGTGTGGAGGTCTAGGTCTGTGGCACCTCCCGCCCTACCTGGCTACCAATTGTTTGAGCGCGACGTAAAACACGAGACCCGAACCCTGCCCCTCCCACCCCCTTGCTCCTCGCCCGAGTGCACGTACAGAAGGGGTGGCGAGAATACACATACACTGAAGGCGGCGGTCGTCCTCCGCGCCCACGCCGTGCTCCCACACAACATGGAACCATCCCGAGGCCGGCGGCAGCGCTGCCTCTCCGCAGGTGAAAGGTGCGGCGCGACTGGGCCCGGCAGGGCAGAAGGCGCGTAGGCCCGGCTCGCCCTGTCGCCTCTCCGCTCGCGCCCGCATGCCCTTCTTGCGGACAACCCGCCTCCCCGAATGGTCGCGGCCCACGCCATGCCGCCCCGCCGCCGCCGCCGCCGCCGCCGCCCTCCCTCCCTCCCCTGCCGCCTGCTTGCCCTCAGCCTCAGCAGGCTCCACCGAGCTGCTCGACCATCACGTCGATGACGTCGCCATCCTCCATGTCCATCTGGGGCGTCGCGGAGGGCGAGTGGGCGCGGAGGGCGAGTGAGCGCGGAGGGCGAGAGGCGGGCGCGGCGGAAGAGGATGCGGGGAGCTCTAGCGGCGCAGCGCGGCGCGCCTCGGCGGGTGTCTGGTTGCCGTTGAGGCGCTCGCCATCAAAAAGGAAGCGGACGCCTTGCTGCGACATGCCCTGGCGCTGGCAGAAGGCGTTCATCAGCTTCGAGAGCGCCGTCGTCTTTTTGCACTGCGGATCAGAGAGGCCGGATCAGACACGAGGACACGGCACGCACGCCGCCGCCGGGCGGGTCGCGCGCGGGAGGTGCGAGGCGCCTTGAAGAAGATTTCGCTGCCGTCCTGTGTCACCACCTTGAGGTTGATGGCATCGCCTCCCTCCTTGACGTCGGGCTTCTGTGCAGCACGGCACAGGCGCAGGCTCAGTCTCTGCGCGGCACGAGGGCGCGGCACGAGGGCGCGGCCGACAAGGCGCTGTGCCGCCGCCCGAGCGGCTCCACGAGCCGCAGCGCCGAGGCGCGCGCGCGCGCGCGCGTGGCGCGAAGGGCAGCGCGGGGAGGCGCGGGGAGGCGCGGCGCTCACCTCCTCGTCAGCCATTTGGCCACACTCACAACCGTCTGCGACGCAGAGGGAGGTGCGGGTGGTGGCAGTGGTGTGGCGGCGAGCGCGTCCGCGCGCAGAGACTTGGATGGCGGCCAGGCGAGGGTGGGGCGTGGGCGTGTGGTGTGGCGTGCGGCCGCTTGGGCGTTTTCGTGGCACGTGAGCGCGGGTGCTGGTTCGGGTAGGGCCCAGCGTCCAGGGCGGCCACCGTTTGGCGCGAAGGAACAAATCCCCGCTGACTTTATCCCCTTCCCTGCCTGCGAACGCGAACGCGCACCCCCCAGGGCTAGGGCTCTCTAGCCCGTAGCCTGATACCGATCATCCGGCCCCGCGGCCCTCTCTCTGGGTGCGCTTCTCAGCTCCCCGGCCCTGGGTGTGAGGTTAATGACTGCACTCCAAAAGAGAGAGTGCTCCAAGTGAGTGAGTGCGCCCCGAGACGCGGGCAGGACCTCCGGCTGTTGGAGGCTGTTGCGCGGGATAGGGAGGGGGGCGGGGCAGCCCGCGGGGCTGGCGGCCGGCCGCGTGCTTTCCCTAACTGACTGTACGTCAGTACGTCCTCTCTCTCGGCTAAGCTCTCCCGCGCACATGCACACTCTAATAGACTAATACACCATTGTTCGGGCGACGGTTGCTGCAACGGGTGCAGATGCACTTACGACGTGGGCAAGTGCCCAGGCCAGCCCCGGTGGGGACAGTTGTGGCCCTTTATGCAGTGTCCGCAAGTGACTGTCGGCGGTTCAGGTGCTGGTCGGCTCCGACGTACCTGCTGCTCCTGCTGCTTGGTCTTCGAGCGCGTGCGCATCGCCACCGAACTGAAAGCTTCCTGCTCGCGTGCAGCACGGCGCTCCGCCTCTTGCTCTTGTCGCCGCCGTTCCAACTCCTCGCGTGCAGCACGGCGCTCCGCCTCTTGCTCTTGTCGGCGCCGTTCCAACTCCTCCTCGCGTGCAGCACGGCGCTCCGCCTCTTGCTCTTGTCGGCGCCGTTCCAACTCCTGCTCGCGTGCAGCACTGCGCTCCGCCTCTTGCTCTTGTCGGCGCCGTTCCGTCTCCTGCTCGCGTGCAGCACTGCGCTCCGCCTCTTGCTCTTGTCGCCGCCGTTCCGTCTCCTGCCGTTCCGTTTCCTCCAGCACAGGACGCGTGCGCCGGGACTTCGTCTGCGTCACCGGCGAAGGCGCAGGCGCAGGCGCGGGCGCGGGCGCAGGAGCTGGCGCTAGCACTTTCACGCAGGTCATGTTTGTACGGTAACCTCCGCTGCCAGCCAATAGCACAAGACTCTTGATGGTCAAGGGCGAGACGATCGAGGGGTCCCGTACCATGCGGAGAATCGACCCTAATATCCAGTGCTCAAGTGCTCAAGAAGACCCACCCGCGCCTCCCTCTGCGTCGCAGACGGTTGTGAGTGAGGCCAAATGGCTGACGAGGAGGTGAGCGCCATTAGTGCAATATTTGCGCTGAATTCTTTTTGCGCGTGACGTGAGGGCCTTTTGGAAGAGCCCACCGAGCGTCGCTGATCAACTGGGTTTGCAGCGCATCTCGGCGCTGCAGCCCCACATGCACCCCTGCTGTCGCGCCTCAGCTTGGATTTTGATCGCCTTGGCGGCCGATCCAGCCGCAGCGCTCGCCGCGTCGCCACGGAAAGGCAAGGCGACGCGGCCAGCAGGCGGCGGCTTTGGTGCGGCTGCGTCCAAGCAGACCAGCCTTGACGCCGCTGCAAAGCGGCTGCTGAAGGAGGCCGGCGGCGACGTCGATGTAGCGCAGGAAAAAAGCTTCCAGAATGCGATGCGAGCGCTCAGCCGCAGCGAGCCAGAGCTCTTCGAGGCGTGGCCGTCCCTGGACTCTGGCGTTCCGCCCGCACCTGACGCAGCCTCCGGCGACGCAGGCGCTCATGGAGGCCAAGGGAGGGCTTCCGACCGGCGCGGCGCACGCCAAGCTGGTTGAGCTCTTTTGGGACGCCGTCGCCGCCTACATCCCTGCCAGGCAGCGGTCGGTCGGCGAATCCGGCATGTCTGCGAAAGCGCGTCGTCAGATCGACGCCATCGCCGGCTGCGCCGCCTCTGCGGGCGCTCTCGCCTCCCACCGCCTCTCGCGCGAGCCGCCTCCTGCCGCCTCCAGACTGGGCCCTCATGCCCCGCCCAACACGGCCGACGCGGCACCACCCCTCCCCCGCAGGCCCTGCCGTCCTCGACGTGGGCTGTGGCGACGGAGCCCTGCTGCCGCACCTTCTGCGAGCCGGCGCTGACGCGGGCCGCTACCTGGGGATCGACCTCTCCGCTCGGATGGTCGCGGCCGCCGCCGCCGCGCACCCAGCCGCGACATTCAGACGCGCCGCCCGTCTCTTGAGGCCGTCGGCGCCTCTTGCGGGCGGGACCCTCACCCCTCCCCTCCCCCGCCTGTCACGCCGCGAACACAGGCGCCGACTTTCTGGAGCTCGACCCGTCGGGCGAGTACGACTGCTGCCTGCTCAATGGCGCGCCACCGCAGCGCGCCACCGCAGCTCGCGCACCCCCACCCTCCCTTCAGCTCCCTTCGCCCCGGAGCGTGCTCCTCGAGTGGTGCCGTGCTGCTGCGTCTGCCTGCGGCCGAGCAGGCCTGCGCTGGCGTCTACGACCCATCGCGCGTCCCTGCGCCCGGCAGGCGCGTCGCAGTTCTTCGCTGACCAGAGCTGCCTCGTCGGCGCGGCTGCGGCGGCCGTCCGCTCGGGGGGGCGGGTCGTCATCGCGCACGCGCAAGGCGCGGGGATGTGGCGGGGCTTGTGAGAGAGGCGGAGCTTGTGGGCCGCTCCCTCCCCCTCTGCCTCGCTCGCAAGGGGAGAGGCAGCGGGAGAGACGGAGGCTAGAGAGCCCGTTCGCCTAAGCTGTGTCAACGGAAGCGTGTCTGGTTCGCGCAGGCGCCGCCTTCGTTGCCGGCGAGCACCGCGGGAACCCGGCCGTCGCCCGCTCCTGCCTGCCGACGCCAGCGCTGCTCGAGTCGCTCGCAGAGGAGCGCCCGCTGCCCCGCCCCTCACCTCCCACCCCCTTGCCGCCATGCCGGCCGCACGTGGGGCACCCTTGGCTGACACTGCATCTTCTACTCCTGCCCCAGCCACAACCGCCGGCCCACCGGCAGCACGCCCGCCTGACAGCCCTCGAGTCGACACTCCTGCTCGCCTTTCACGCGCCCCCGACTCGCGCACAGGAGCACGGCCTGCAGGTGCTGCCGGCGGAGGAGTGCGCGCCGGGTAGGACGCCGCCGCACACGCTCGAGGGCCATGACTTTTACCTCGTCGCCTTGCGGAAGAAGTAAAAATAGGGGGGGCGGGCGGGCGGGGCGGGGGGGCGCCAACTATTATGTACATTTGTATTGTGCGCGGCGCGTCACACATAAAATGATAATGTGACACATACCGATTACCGTACAGGCTACAACCCTGTGTCGTCTAATCACAGCACACTAGGCCGCAGGCGACTCCCGACGGTGTGGTGCGCGAGGTGGACCCAGCCCCGCCGAGCCCCACAGAGCGACCCGCGCAGACTCCATAGCGCACGAGAGAGGTCGTCGGTTCCAGCCTTCCACGTTCCAGGTCGCGTGAGAGGAGTGCGGTGTGTCGTCTGGTGTGAGAGACGGCGGGCACGGCACCTCGCGGCAGAGGCCAGAGCCCGGCCGCGCAAAAATAATCAATGGCAAAAAATATGACAAAACAAGACCCACCCGCGACACATAACAGAATAGCATCTCCTCATCCCTGCCCCCAGTCCCCCTCTGGAGGAGGGCGCACCTCAGACACGCGGCCGCTCAGGTCGTCCCTCGCACGCAAGAACTCTCGCAGCAGGGCGAGGTTCGCCTGCTCCTCGTCCATGAGAGCGTCGTCGCTCAAGTCGCGAGGCGAGCCCTCCACCGGGTCGCTTCCGAGCACCGCCGGAGCAGGCTCTCGCGTCGCAAAGTCGTCCATGTCGTAAATCTCTCCCGGCTCAACGGCTGCCCGCCCTCGCTGGCCCCACGACTGCTTGCGCCGCCGACGCTGGTCGTTGAGCTGCCGCGTGCGAAACGCGTTCCAGGCGTCGCGTTTTGCCGGGCTCAGCGCCCGCAGCTCCCGGGCGAGCGGATCAAAACCGCCGGCGTCCGCCACGTCATCGGCAACGCCAGCGCGCGGTGAGGCAAGCAGCCGAGCCGCGCTTCCAGGCGCGCGAATGGTGGTGGTGGTGCGAGCCGACGACGTTGGCAGCAGCAACAGCAGCAGGTTGATTGCCAAAGCGCGGGGCATGCACCGATGCGCCATTGGCTGTGTAGAGTGCACCACGGTATTCTTTTTTCGGTGCTCTGCACGTTAGCTGTCCGGTGGGTGTCCGGTGGGTCAGAGCTCCTCGCTCTAGAGGCCGCCTGGTGGCCTCCGAGCGCCAGCCGAAGCAACCCTCGTCGAGCCCCGACACCCCCCCGACTCATGCTGCGCCGCTCTTGCCTGTGTGGGAAAGTGTGGCCGCTGAAAAAGGCACTGATTCTGACGGAAAGCATGCGCGACGCTGCCTCTTTGCACCGCTCGCTCACGGCTGCGGGAGACATGGCCGCCGATGCGGCTCGCACTCGCTCGGCGGGCCTCCGTCCCACAGCCGCCCGGGCGTGCCACGGGTCTGCCTGGCGCTGCGCTGCTCGCACGCTGCACTGCACAAAGCTGCGACAACAAGGGGAGGCTCCTGAGCTTGAGCGTTGAGCAGTGCAGCTGCGGGCGCTCGTGGGCGGCTGTGCAGTGGTGAGAGTGCCTGATTGGAGGCGAGCTGGTGCTGCGCCAGGGTGCGCAGCATGCGCTCTTGCTCTGTGCTGAGGCATGCTGGCTGGCGCCCAACACAATGCCCTGGATGCATTGCTCCACGCCGTGCTGGCTGGTGCAGTACTGCCAGTGCGCCGACTGGCGCGCAGGGTGCGCGTCGCCGCGCGTGGCACGGGTGGCTCGAGAGGCGCGGCTGTCGTTCAACCCCGCGGCGCATGTGCGCCGCGGAAGCTGCTCGACAGGCTGCGGGCATCGCTGCGGCAGAAAGCGCCCGCCCTCTGCTTTGCTTTCGCCCGCGTTTTACGACAACTTTCGGTTTATCATAGCCGCCGAACTTTACCTCGCTGTTTCTTTATAGGCGTCTCGCAGCTGCGTATTCTCGTATTATCTTCGAGTAGTTGCGTGGGGGCGGTATGTATTCTCGTATCAGTAGTTAGTGTCGTGTCCACTAGCTCCGAGTAGAGGGGGCGTCCTTGCAGTTAAGGGGAAACCTGGTACGCGGGGCTAACCCTCGGAGAGTATTCTTTAGCTCCGAGTAGAGGGGGCGTTCCGCAGCTAGGGGGACCCACAGCGCGAGGGAAAAATTCCGCCGCTGGGGGAACCCCGGAGCGCAGAACTAACCCTCGGAGACCCGTGTTTACTTTAAGGCCCTTGCCCTGCGAATGCGCGCCCCCCCCCTAGATAGGGGGCAGGGCTCTCTAGCCCGTAGCCCGATCCCGATCATCCGGCCCGCTGGATGCGCTTCTCAGCTCACCGGCCCTGGATGTGAGGTTACTGACTGCACTCCAAGTGCTCCAAGTGCTGACGGCGGGACCCCGTGCGCGGCTGCGACGCAAACTCGTCACTGCCGTCGTCACACCTGTCCACAGATGCGACGGGTGCCTGTCCGACCGCGACAAACAGGCCTCGTGTTGCGGGTCGCCAGCCGCCCTGCCTTCGCCTCCGCAGACGCCTAGCCGAATCGTCGTTACCTTCCGCAGACCGACTTCCGAGCGGGCGCGTTCTATAGATTACGGTCACGCCGAACTCACCAGCCTTGTGGCCTGAAACCGATTCTGAGCCCTGCCTCCGCCGAGCGGGTATGGCCGCTGCCCGGCGGCCCGCGGTACGATTCGGTCCCGCCACCTCCCCCCGCCGTCCCGGTTCCCGCAGGTGAATTATTGCGATTTCGCCACCCTCCTCGCCGCCCTCTCCGCCACTGTCGCCTCCGCGCTCTCCTCCGCCGTCGCCGCCGCCCTCGCCTCCACCGCCCTCTCCGCCACCCTCCCCGCGGCCTTCTCCACCGCCCTCTCCGCCGCTCTCTCCTCCGCCGTCGCCGCCGCCCTCACCGCTGCCGTTGCCGCCGCACTCCATGTCGAGGACGGGCCGAGACGTGACCGTGACAGCGCGAACGCCCTGTGCCGCCGGGGAGCAGGTGCGTCATCTAAGTGCTTGAATGGGAGGCACCCACGGGCTGAGCCCTGGCCTCGACACCTCGACACCAAACCTCGACACCAACTCGACACCTCGACACCCCATGCCAACTCGACACCCTCGACACCCCTCGACACCCCTCGACACCATCTAGGCTGGTACCACGCTCGTCCGTGTGAAGGTGCCAAACTCGACACCTCGACACCGCTCGACACCGCTCGACACCGCTCGACACCGCTCGACAACCGCTCGACACCGCTCGACACCTCTGATGATCTAACACAGCAGAGACGTAGACCCATTTGGAGTCACAGAGTTAGAAAATCAGGGTTGCAGCAGCAATACTTGGCTGGCAGTACAATTATCCCTCAGTTGCAGCCTCTCAAAAGTTCAAGGTCAAGTTGCGTCTCAGTTGGAGTTGCACCCCTGTTGATGTAGCAAACATGGCAGTACTCAGGTAGCCCTCAGGTGCTGCACAGCACCTTGTACAGTGGCAATGAATCCTCACACCAGTGAGCTTGTGCCATGAGTGCAGACCTGTGGTCCATTGCGCTTTGTGCACTGGCGACGCTCGGCTGCAACGGCGACGCTGCAGCGGCGGCGACGCTGCTGCGATGGGGTACTGTAGCCCTTAGCTGCTGGACAGCACCTTGTGCAGTGGCAATGTCCACTGACTCATGGCACCAGCCTTGTGAAAGGAGCGCTGTGGTCAGTTGCGCTTTGTGCGCCGGTGGCGCTGCAGGGGTGATGACGCTGCAGCGGCGACGCTGCTGCGGTGCTGCGCCTGCACAGCACCTTTGTGCACAGTGGCAATGACTCCCGGCACTTGATGTCCTCAAATGTCCACAGAGAGTATACTGGTTGTGCTCAGGTTGTGCTACATCAACAGGGTGCAACTGAGAGGCTGCAACTATAAGGGATGAAACAGCTTTGCAACTGCTGCCCAAGTTTTGTTGATGGGCTGCAACTGCATCCTGCCACCTTGGACACCTCGACACCTTAGACGCAAAACCCCTTGACAACACTCGCGACACCCGCTCGACACGCTCGACACGCTCGACACGCTCGACACCCCTCGACACCCCTCGACACCCCTCGACACGGACAAGCGTGGTACCAGCCTCGACAGGCCTCGACAGGCCTCGACAGGCCTCGACACCTCTACCCCTCGACAGCAGCTCGACACCCTCCACACCGGGCCTCGACACCTCGACACCAGGGCTCAGCCCACGGGGCGGCAACGCAGCGGCGCACGTGAATGGCACCTGGGGCACCCGGTCGACAAATTTTACCGCGACGGTCAAATATCGCATATCGCAACGAGGTCATATGTCGCAACGAGGTCAAATACCGCAACTTCTTTCATCGTCAAATATCAGGGGGGTCATAACAAACACGGATACACGGTACATACAGGATCGAGCGGTCGAGGAAGGTGCACGCTGCAGAGAATATCGCAACTGTCAGCAGTCAGCAGCAAGCAGCAGCAGCTATCGGTCGCCGCCCGGTACCGACAGAGGTGCGAGCCGTGTCGGAGATGTAGAGCCCTGTCGCGAAGCTCGTCACGTCTAAGCCGTCGGCGTAGACGGAGACCTCGGCGCGCTGGTACTTGAACTCGCCCGCGCCGCACGACGTGGCCTCGTGGCGCCGGCCAGAGCGTCGATCTTGTTGAGCACGCGATCCGTAGCTAGGGCGGTAGTGGCTAGCGGTGGTGGCGACGGCGACGAAAAAGAAGGGAAATTTTTTAGAGCGCCTTCGTTGTTAATAATACACACGCGCACCGCACCGCGCGCCCGCCCACCGCCCCGCCCAAGCGGGAACAGAGGAGCGGGAAAGAGATGAGGAGATGGGATGACAGCGAAGGAGGAGCACAAACACGTATGGGAGGGTAAAGTTGCGCGACACGCTGCGGCCCGCGGCGGCGTTTCTCACTTTCCGGGACAGCTTGACAGCCCCGCCCTTTTGAGGCAGGAAGGTGACGACTACCCCATACGCCCTGCCGCTACTACCCCATCGCCGACCGCCCAAACCCCTCTCCTCATTCCCCCCTCATCCTCCCCAACCTTGACGAGCCGACGAACCGCTGAGTGCGCTCTCTCTTGGAGCACTTGGAGTGCAGTCAGTAACCTCACATCCAGGGCCGGGGAGCTAAGAAGCGCGCCCAGCGAGCCGGATGATCGGCATCGGGCTACGGGCTAGAGAGCCCTGACCCCTAGCTAGGGGCGGGGGTGCGCGTTCGCAGGGAAAGGGCCGTAAAATCCCATTTTTTTTTCGAGTCGAGCCACCTCGATCGGCAGCTCGTCGAGCCACTCGGCAGAGGTTCCCTCCTCTTGGGGGCTGAATTTTTTTTCTCGAATCGGGAAAGTCTGATGAACTCGCCGCATCCGGCGGCGCGAAAAAAGGACAAGATGCCGTTCGTTTACTTCCCCCCGTTCCTCCTTCTCCTCCTCCCGCTCGTCCCGGGTAGCAGCGCGGTCCAGCACGGCGCCCCTCGCGCGGCGCGATCGGGCGGCGGCGGCGGCGGCGGCGGCAGACGTCCAGCCGTGAGCGCCAGTCACAGCAGCAGCAGCAGGCGGCCAGGCGTGCTCGCGCTGCAGGGGCACAACGTGGGTGGCCTCGACGTGGCGGCGGCGGGGGTCATCCCGTTTGTGCGGCGGCGCGGGCAGGGCGTTCACTTCCTGATGCAGACCGCCACCAACGGCACGCGTGCTGGCTTGCTCAGCGACTTTGGGGGACGGCGCGAGGACTCGGACGAGGACGCGTTTGAGACGGCCGCGCGCGAGCTGACCGAGGAGACGGCGGGCGCGTTCGGCGACCCCGCCGTCCTCGCGCTGCGGCTCCGCCACGAGGCCAAGATTCGCATCATCAACCGCGCGGGGCGCTACGTCGCCTTTTTCCTCGAGGTGCCGTACGTGCACCAGTCTCAGATCGAGAGGGTGGACACGTCGACCGCGGAGGGCGCGACGGCGCGCGAGTGCCGCTGGCTGCGCGCCGACCAGGTCATCGGCGAGGTCGAGCGGGGGCACGTCTTTGAGCGCCTCTTGCAGCGCCCCCGCTCGCCGACTGCCGCAGCGCACAACGGCGGCGGCGGCGAGAGCGGCTGGTCGGAGGGGTCTGAGCCGACGAGCCTGCACCGGGCGCTGCTCAAGACGCTCGCGCTCGACGAGGTGAACCCGTACGCCCAGGAGCGGTGGCACGCCACCGTGCTCTCGTCGATCATGCAGTCGTGGCGGCGCGACGAGGCGGCCGCGAGGCGCGAGGCGGAAGAGTTCGAGGCGCTCGCGCGGCGCGCCGCCCTGCCTGCCGCCGCCCTGCCTGCTGGCGCCGCCCGAAGCCGCCGCCGCGGGCGGAGGCGCGGCGGAGGCGCCGGCGGAGGCGGAGGTGCCGGCGTTCCTCCTCCCGATCTCGACTACGCGCCGTGACCTCCGGTCGAGGTCACATCGGCGAGCAAACCTCCGCTCTGGGACGCTGCACCGCCGGTGGCTCCTAACTAGCCGCAGCAGCAAGCCTTGTGTACAACTCCCCCCGCCCCCCCCCACCCCCCCCACCCCCCACACAACTCGTGAGTTGCGCACGCGTGCCCTGCAGCTTCCTCTCGAGCAGGCTCGCCGCGCCCCCTCCCCTCCTCTGTACCCTGTACTCTGCCACACACACGCAGCTGCACTTCGTCTCCACTCGATTCGCGCCCCCGTCTCGCCCCTCCTCGTGGGCGTGTGTCCACGCGACCGCTCCGACGTATTCCGCGCGCTTTCTCTCTCGCCGAGGTGTCCGTGGGGGAATACTCTTCCATCTCTCTAGTCATTACGGCTGGTGCTGTGCACAGCTCTCATGCTATCATATCAAGTTTGGCAAGACCAAAACACACGCACCGATGGTCGATAGAGACTGCGAACCGATTGCGTCCAGTCAACAAAGGGTATCTCGTATCTCTGCGATGCAACATCAGGGTAGGCTCCGCCCCACTGTGATTCGAACTGAGCGACGGCAGGACCCTTTGAAATCATGAATGGCGGCGTCCGGTGAGGCCCCCACGGCCGGGGGTGGTAAGTGGGTGATAGGAGGGCCATAAACGACCATCACATCGGCCATAGGACCCCTCCCCCCCCCCAAACACAGTCCAAACCGGCCCCGGCGGCCGGCGGGACGCACGCCGGCGCAGCATCATCAAGCTGCTGTACGGCCCCGGCATCGCCTCCCCTGGCTTAGCTCTCAGTCAAGATATTGTGCGCATGGGTGACCTCTACAATATACTCACTGACACTGTACCTCCCAGAGCTCGTCCCGGTCCGCCACGGCCATCCTCGTCCTCCGCGGCGCCGGCTCCGGCCCCTCCGGCGCACTGTGATGAGCGTCGGCAGGACCCTTTGAAATCATGAATGGCGGCGTCTGGAGAGGCCCCACGGCCGGGGGCGGTAAGTGGGTGATAGTAGGGTGATAAACGACCATCACACCGGCCACCGGACCCCTCCACCCCCCCAAACACAGTCCAAACCGGCCCCGGCGGCCGCCGTGCTGGAGGCCGCCGGGGCGCACCAAACGGCCCTTCACGGCCGCCACACGGGCAACCACGGCCCGTCCCGGTGGCACGGGTGCCGCCGCGCACCCGCCCGACGCCCCCGGCCCGCCAGCTCCCGCTCTGGGGGGCTTCACCTCCGCCAGCGGGCCGAGCGTGCCGCCTTCTCGCCGCGCTGCGGCCGCACGCCCGAGAAGTGGCCGAAAGGCGACCTACGCGGCACTAAAATCACGACTAGAAGCGCCGCCCGCCAGCAGGCAGCTTGCCCGCCGCGCGCCGCGCGCCGCCGCAGCCCCCGGCCGGCGCTGGAAGGGCTATGCCGGCCGGTAGCCGCCGTCAGCGGTTGGGGAGGCGGCGCCAGGACGCCCCGATCCGAGCTATGAAGAGCCTGGGGCGCGGGGTGGGGGGCCGGGAGGGCGACGTGGGCGATGGTGGTGGCGTGGGTGCGCGGGGCCG